CTACTGCCATGGTAGGGTAAGTAAAAGCAGGTGAGTGGTTGAATGGTAGGGTAAGTAATGTAAGTTGAAAAAACGTTGGTGAGTTTTATATTTTATCCATTTTGTAAACCAAGCCAGGAATCCAAAGCTAAGTTTTATATTTTATCCATTTTGTAAAAGCATGTGAGCATTCTGTCGGCTAGACATGCTTTGTTTATTAGCTCAATGAGCTACTTTTGTATTACTCTAGGAGACATGCTTTCCGTAGAGTGCCCAAATCAGTTCAATGAGCTACTTCAATTCTCTACATTTTTTGAGTTTCATATCGGGATATTATCGGGATATTATCGATAATATCTCGATATATTGACCAAATCATTCATAAAAGTGTTGAAAATATCTTTCCGATATTATCGGGATAATATCGATATATTGACGATAACTATATGGTTAGTTGTTAAAATATCGGACCCCCAAAAATCAGATATTATCGGGATAATATCGGGGATATTATCGATATTTAAGACCATGGTTGTGCGTTGAGGACTTGATGGGCTTTTATGCACCATTTAAATTAATTCTAAAAAATACAAATTGGTTGTTGTTGGACATTTTTGCCTTCCTTAATGCATCTAGTTTTGGCAAATAGAAGGACAGAGAAGTCCTTTCAGATATTTGATTTTGACGTAGAGCTTTATTTATGTCATATCAAGATTATATGAGATTGTTTGCTATCGAGTACCAAAGTTACAAACCAGCAATCTAGTTGATCTCTCATACGTAAAGAAAGACAAAGAATTCACTAATGTAGTGGTTTGGAGTAATTGCTCTCTCAGGAAAGGTTCAGGGTTCGAGTCCTAACATCCTTGTAGTATATGTGAGTTTAGTATACTATCACCATTCTCAATAATAAAAAAAAATCCTTTAAAAAAAAATTACTAAACAAAGAAAACCAACACAAATCATATCCATACTTGGAAATGAGAAGAGATCAAAATTCACAAACCAACTTTGTTTTCTTAAATGAGTACCAATTAAGTTGAAGAGGAAGACTGTCTCTCTCCCTCTAAGTTGGAATGAGGCAATCATTTCTTAATTATTTCAAACGGAACTTAAATGCTCAATGAATAAAAGATTGTAAAAGATTTCCCATGACTTGCCACATAATAAAAGAGAGAACAAAAACAACCTTTGAGAATAGTTGAAAAGGAAGTAAAGGTTTTCTCTGTACGAATGGGTGGCGTATCAAGTTTTTCTTGCTCATCTCAATTCTCATATGTTTGGCACAATATGTATCACACCTAAGATCAGAGAATACAATTGGTCTCTTTTCCCAAATAAGAAAACAAAGTATATAAAAGCATATTTATAAAAATTGGAAGTAAAAAAAAAAAGGGTGCTAGAAGGAATCATTGGATCTATCTAGGCCAAAGAAAAATTACTAAAGTAGTGCAGTTTGAGCCTTGAATCACTGAGTTCTTTAGTATAGATATATACAACTTTTTTAATATTGTTGATCTTGTTGCCATTGTTGTTTAGGTTCTTGAAATGCAGAGAGCCAATGCGAAGAAGAAGAACTTGATTTGGTTTAGAATGCGTATTTCCTATATTATTTCATTTTTTTCTTTTATCTTTTAAGATAATGTGTTGTCAATGTAACCCCATTTCCGAACATAGAGATTTTGTGTTTGAGTAGCAAACTAAAACTTGAAAGTTCCCCTTTGTTTAGATTTCGTATGCTTCATCAATACTTGACAATGCAGAAATTCCAAACATATCACAAGGTTGACTACCCACAACGTATCTACGGAGATTATTTATTGTATGATCACACTACTGTTGCATATCTTGGGCGTTATGTTGCTCGATACAAGTTATGGATGGGGTGTCACAAAAATTTACAACTTAAAAATAGGTAATTACTACTAATTTTACTTATGCCTTTTTGAGTTAAAATCTCACCCCAAAAAGGTTCGATGGTCTTAACGAACCTGGTTAAGCTTTTAACAATATTGGTGCAATCCTGGCCAAAGTAGTGGCCCTTATAGGTCTTACACAAAACACGTGTTTGCAAAAGCCAGTAGGCACATTTGACTGATCGCCATTAGAACATCTCCAGGAAAGTCTCCAAATTTTAGTTAAAATAGCTAGAAAGTTATTATAGCAAACCACTTAAAAGGTGTTTCCTTCAGCAATGTTTCTCAGCATGGGTTGAGAGTGAGATCTCGCCTTTTTTGGAAAGACCGTGCTCCTCCATGGTTAAGCATTCTTTTAGATAAGGATATAGCTATGGTGTAATTCATTGTTTGTTTTTGAGATGCGGTGGTACTCTTTTTCCTTGACCGGATTTTCCCCCATTGGGGGTTTTGGATGGCAATGTTTTAATGAGGCCACACTAACGCTCTCCATTCATTTGTAAACGTTATCATTGGTTGGTGCTACGGTTGAATGAATCTTTCTATTTGATCAAAAAAAAAAATAATAAAAAATAAAAGTAGAGACCCAACCCCACCAACCTCCCAAATGTCTCTATCTCTCTCCCTCTTTTTCTCTCTCCTCCTTGCTAGATAAAGAGCCAAAAGTTGGTTCTCCAAAATAGAGAGCCCAGTAGGGAGTCTGCTTAAAGGAGGATTTTCCTTCTTTTTAGCCAAAATAGCTAGGAATGAGAGGATAGAGAGTCTGCTGGAGATGCTCTTATATCCTAGGAGGTGAGAATGATTTGTGTGGTTCACCTCTTTCTTACATTAAAGTTTGAGAGTTCAAAATATCCCCTCTTTCTCTGATAAACATGACAAAGTGCAATCTATCCAAGCAAGTCAGATCCCACATACTTAAATTTACAGAAGAAAGAAAAACAACACCAATCATAATCATACTTGTTTGATCACCCAATCTTTTTTTGGTGCATATCATAACACCTAGCTTCTCTAAATTAGGTATAAAACGGTTTTGCAGGAAAAAAAAAGAAAAAGAAATTCATATTTCACATCAGCTGTTTTATTTTTTTTAAGCAAGAAACATACATAAAACATAAAGGCATAAACCAGATGAAGAAAAGAACACAACAAAGAAGTACAACTACTAACCTGGCTTAGAGGCTATGGTCATATTACTAAGCACACCAAAGTTTCAGGCAAATTATTCTAATTCAAGAAAGCAACAATCTTTTTCTCCATGGCCACAGCATTGTCACAAGTTGGATCTTCCAAATGGAACGAATGCCCCTCCCCCGCTGCTTCTATGACCTCCACAGCCCCATTCCACCCACTCTTTTTCAGTGTCTCACTATAATGCCATCCTCTATCTTTCAACACATCTTTCTCAGCAACACAAACCAGCACTTTCTCACAACCCAATTTACCCAATTTCGGATCCTTAGCCGGGTTTATAAGCGGGTCGTCGGATCCACTAGTCGAAGGGCAGGCAAAACGCCACACACCAGCCATATACTCTCTTGCAGCTGCCGGAGTAGTTAACTCTGCCCCAACCGGCTCTGTGCCCCAAAAGTATGGATGCACCAAAACAATCCCAATCAACTTAACACCAACCAATCCCTCACACCCCAATTTCACAGCCATGTTGTGCGTTATATTAGCCCCGGCACTGTTCCCAGCGAAAAACACTCGTTGGAAATCTGCAAATCTATTTATCCAATCTTCAGAGCCGTTTCCATCGGAATGGGAGGCAACCCATTTGAGAGCAGCCCATGAATCATCATAAGCAGCCGGCAGAGGGTGCTCTGGGACAAGCCTATAGTCAACAGAGACGGCAACAACATTGGCGTCAGAGACTAAGGCGTTGAGGTAGTTGTGATGTGTGGGAGAAGATGAACTTCGAATGCAGAAGCCGCCTCCATGAAAGTAAATGAGAAGAGGGAGTTTGGTTTGGGATGCGCTTTTGGTGGTGGTGGCGGTGCTGGATTTTGGGATGTAAAGCCTTGCAGATATGGCTGGTTCTTGTGAGATCACAACGTCTTTTGATTGGACGCCAGTTTTGGGATCTGTTGATGGAGGAACTATGTCTGTGCCTCTGAGTCTTTCAACTCGACCATCTTTGTATACTTTAATCAGTGGAGAGAAATCATAGGCTAATTCTTCGTTGCTCATGATTTGAGTTGAACAAGGAAGAGAAAAGAATAAGAACAAGCAACTATGAAGGCCTCTGTCTCTTCTCTGTTTTTCTTATGCAGATTGCAGAGTTCAGAGCAGGAGCAAAATTTACGGTTATGATGTTGGGGACTTGAAGGGCTTTAATGCACCACTTAAATTTGTTCTGACAAAACAAATTGTGTTGTAAAGAATGTGATGGAGCCCACTAACTATTCATTTGAAGACTTGTTGGGTAAAGTGATGATGAAGGTGTTGTAGAAGTGGAGTCCATATATTGGAAGAAATAATTGCACATCCACAGGAGGCTTCGCCTATAAATGGACTTCCTCCCTTCATTGTAATTCGACACCAACCATTAGAGAAGAAAGTGAGAGCCCAGACAGAGAGGAAGGGAGAAAGAAAGAACAATGAAAGGAGAGAAAAGAGAGCAAAGAGAAAAATCAGTTAGCCACAAAGATTGTAAACACTAAAGATGTAGCCCTATTATTTTACATAGTAGAAAAGTTAGAGATTTTCTATTTAAACTTCACACTTCTCTTAGTTCACCCCATCTTTTAATTTAAATTTTCACAATTTCTAAGAAAACCCCACTATCTTCCCAAACTATCCTTAAATACATCCCAAACTGAAAAAATAAGAAATAAAAGAGATTTTCTATTTAAACCCCACAATTTTCTTTGTTCCCAGCAGAAAAAAAAAACAAACAAATGAAACCCCAAACCCGAAATTTAATACTTTCTAGAGTAAAAGAACAACTTTACCTCTCTCCAAGTAGAGGAGTTTGTAGAAGAGTTTGTCCTGATTTGATCCAATTTATACTTTACCTATGTCCTGATCCAATTTAAATAGGATGTAGATGAGATTGTATTTTTCTAAAACTTAATATGAAGAGTGGTGGGGTGTCTGTATAGATGTACTAGGGCTAATTATTAAGTTGGATGACCTTTTTTGTCTTTTTCCATAATAAAACTTACAGCTTAATGATTTAAGTATTGGGGTGAACAAAGAGTAGTACGAGTTTTAAATAGAAAATCTCAAAAGTTATTGTAGCTGCTCTCCGAAGACGTAGGCATGACTAAACCTCGTTAAATATTGTGTCTCATTTACTTTACATGCGGCTCAATATTTCCTCATATACCATTCATTTTACAATAAATTGGTTGTTGGACATTCTTGTCAAAAAGGACGGACAAGACAAGTAATTTCATATATATTGATTTAAATTTGAAGTAGAGTTATTAAACAAACAACTACCACATGGCCATACTAACGTAGTATTATATAATTTCTCCTATCGCAGGAGCTACCTTTGATAAATTTATGCGTAAAACTCATTTATATTAAGATCCCCATCTCCTATTTAAAAATAATTATTAAAAACAAAGTTAAGATCCCCATCAATTGAAAATTCTTCTTGATTAAAACAGTAATGGAGGGCAAAGGATCCATTTGAACAACCCTAAACCCACAAGAGGATAAACTATAAATAATCAACAGGTCACAACGTCCCCACTGTAGCTGAAGTTATCATTCCCACTGTAGGTCATGTGAAGAAATCCATCATCATCCTTATTTTCCTCATCAACTAAACCCATAGAGGCACCTGTAACATTCATTGAAAGACAAGGAGAGTTGGGAACGAAGATACTATATATATATATATATATATATATATGCCTATTTAAAAAA